GGATGTGTTGAGAGGAGCGGTGTAAATAAGCAAGTGGAAGCTGGTTCTCCGGTGGCAGAAGATGGAATGAAAGAGAGTCAGGCGTCCTGCCAACTTGTGGGATGTAAACTGAAAAGACCATGTGTGGGTGGTGGTAGTGTGTGTGTGTGTGTGTGTGTGTGTGTTGTTGAAGCATCAGTGCTTCAAAACCATTCCTGTGTGTGGCTCCAGTAGAACATCTGAAGTTAGTTGGTGAGCTTTGTGAGCAAAATGTAACCCTATGGTAAATAACGTGCCAGCACGATGGTCTTCGAGGTGGCCATGTCTGTGTCTGACACATTTCAAAATCATGTACGTTAGCTTGATTTAAGACGCTAGGAGGTCTAAGGGTGACTGGTTGTTTGTCTTTTAAGTGCCTTGCGATTGGCTGGCTAATGCCTTTTTCTTCATGAATACATTGTATGTGCCAGCGCAAGACAAAACACCTTAGTCTGATTTGCACTGAGTTCCCGGAATACGAATTAAACAGGATAATTAATCAGCATCATGTTTATTAAAATCGTTGTCAGCTGTGGTGCGGAAATGACGTCACGACTACAGCAGAATGTGGCTTTGTTTATAGCACAGTGGAGTACGCCGAGTTTGCTAAACATGGAAATGTAAGAATGGCAACAGTATCATACTGTCAAGCATCAAAAGTAAGCGTGCAGATTCATTTTGGACGATTAATGCGCCTTTCAAAACACAAGCAGTTTGCCAGCTGTCGCCAACCGGGCGGGCACTTGCCGGCTGAGCAGATGCACTTGCTGCCTGGCCCTGGGCGACCGGCTACCCGGCAAGTAGCTAGTTGCTAGCCCCTAGCTGATAACGCTGGCAAATGGCACCATGTTTAATTAGCATTTTTAAAAATCTTATTCAGTTCGGGACTGAACATGCTTTCGGGTTGGTTCTAAACTGATGATGTCAACAGTATACGCTGGCAGGGTAACACAGGACACCAACTTGTATGATGCCAAACGATGAGACCAGTGATTGGGAGTCAGCACATCAGCCATTAGCTGGCTAGATAAGCGGATCTGACTGATCTGCAGCAGTTTGTTGCTGAATAATTACTAACTCGGTCGAGGTTTGTTAGTTGAAGGGGAAGTTAACCCCCTAAATTTTCTTTACAGTAATAAGTTTGTGGTATCTGAGTTAAGCAGTAGTGATTGGTCGTTACCTGAGCACTGAGCAACTGTGAGGTCATTTTCAGTTGACATATTCCACAAAGGCATTATTAATCAGAAATCCCTATTAAGGCTAGCAGGGCCACACAAAAAAATATTACTATGAAAAAAAATTTGGGGTTGACTTCCCCTTTAATAAATTGGGCAGGAGGGGCTTATACGCATCACATTTCCGCAAATTCACACACTCGAAATTGTGAAAATGGAGACACCTGTCGGCGAGTATATGTGATTCTTTCAATGTATTTTTGCAATACTTTTGCATACTTAAGTAAACAGCATTAGATCAAGAAGATACACACATTTAAAAGATAGCGTTTTGACATCTTGAGTTTGGTTCCTCTTTAAAACAAGTAAAAAGAGCTAGTCTAGAAAAAAACACTGATGTCCTTTAACTAGTGTATTTAGACCATCGGAGCCGGCAGAATTACAGTATTGTATTTCTTATTTTCACATAATCTTACTCATAACAAGCAATAAAATACCTCATTAAGGAAACATGCATATTTTGATTTGAGATACTGTCATATGATCTCGATCTAAGAACAGTGTTTGCAGTGTGTGAGTTGGTTCTGCTGATTCGTTGCAAGGAAAACCATAAAACATAAAAAAATAAAAGCATGACAGTGGACCACAGTGTGAATGCACACACAAAACAAGTAACGCAGTAAGCTGCGGGCGATGTTTCCACCTGCTGAGATGACAGGCATGATTCCCTAACATGATCGCCGGCCCCATTCCGCAGTTTTTAAGTAAGCGAGGAAATGTTGTGAAAGTGCTCACCAGGGTTGTTCTTTTGTGGATGGAAAGTCTAGATTAAAAAGTCCAAGCCCTCACAAAAAAAAAAAAGTTTTTTCATTTCTCCTCGCCCGAATTCCCAGCTACGTTTATTTTTTCGTGACAAATGACACCTGCGTCTGCTGCAAATCATTTTCTTACGTCAGCAACCTGCAATCTCAGGATGATATCGAAGAAAAGCCAGATTCCCTGAAGTGAAGGCACTGTTTGCTGTTTGGAAAAATGGATTGGTACAATAAAAAATAAAAACAAAAAGAACAACAAAAAAAAAACCCACAAACTGTTTTGCATTTCATTTTCTATTTTGTTGCACATTTTGATTACTTTGTTTTGCTGATATTTCATTTATTCAAATGTATTGTATAATTTACTGCTTGCAATTACATAGTTAGTATTGCCCTCGTCTGTGTTTGCTTTTCAAAAAGAAGTTCAGCTAGTGGCACAGCCTCCTCAAAGGAAAACACTGAAACTATTATACAGCAGACCCACATTATTTACAGGGGATAACCGAACCACAAATCGTGAAAATCTGCTAACAATTGATGCCACTTATAACTGCACTAAATATAAATACATAAACAAACAAAACAAAATAGAAAACACAATTCGAAGAACTGGGAGCGATGGTTAAAAAAAGTGCAAAGAAGAGTGGGATTGGGATCGAAAATATACACGACAAAGCAGTTTTTGTGAATACTGGGGAATGGGCACCCTCCAAAAAGTTGAATTTAGGAACACCAAACAGTGAATATGCGGGTCCACTCTATATGAACAAATATCAAATATTTAGTGTAATGCATATGTTCATTATTTATGAATGTTTATTTCATTGGAAAATTTACTGATGACAGTACTTAGCACCGATTAGTTGCATTTGTCAACATTGTTTAGTACTTACAAAGAAACTAGAAAGAAAAAAGAAAGACTTTAACCCTCTTGGGTCAGTAATAAAAATAAATATTTATTACTTTTATTGTCGACAATTGGAATTTTTGAGATTTTACACCCATTTTGGACGTTCCGTGCAACGTTTTGTGCAAGAAATAATTAGTGGCATCAAGGGGTTCTAAATTTGGCATGATGTCTTTTACTTGTTTTTGTGAAGAAAAGAGAGTCTTTTGTACTGCTTGTTTTGTTGCTGGGCTCAAACTGCTTGAATGAGAAATATCACCTAAAAAGATGAGGAAGTGCAAAAAAAAAACAAAAACATGCAGTGGAAGCAAAAAAAAAGAGAAGTTAGAAAGCAGTGATGTTTTCTGTATCACACTAAGGTCGTTTTAGTTTGTGCGTGTGTATGTGGTTGTGCGCGTGTGTGTACCTCTTTGGAGCCCGACTTGGCCAGGTAAATGGCGCTGCGTTGGCATGCTTCATCTAAGCACAGGGGTAGGAGGTGGTCCTGGTAGCCGTCGCCATCTGCCAGAATCATGACAGAGTTATCAAGAAGAAAAAAAAAAAAAATGAAATCAACAACAAAACAAAAAAAGTGGACTGATTGGCAAGAGCACAAAAAGTGGTGAGGAGAATTTTAAGTTAATTTGAAACCCTGAACCCCAGACCTCAAAAATGTGAGGCAAACCTGAAAAAAAAAAAAAAGGTGCCGTTACATATTTGGAAGTTGATGCAAGGAAAAGCAACTTATTGCATCCTGTTTACAAATTAGTCAGGCCTCAACTCACCAAGGTACTTAGTACTGGAATATTTACAAAACACTTTTTTGGCGTTGTAAAAATCTTGCAAATTTAAAACCTGCGTTGACTTCTACAGCAGGCTGTCGGGTCTGAATTATGGAGATACATGATGCTCTCTTTTTACTTTCCAAAGGAATCACTTACTCTACAATCGTATTAGCTGTAAAGCTATGGAAGTTGATACTGGGGGGGGGGGGGGAATGTTTGCAAAGTTGTTTGGCAACAAAAGAAATAAGGCAAATCTCAGAAGAGCAAATTTGTGTTTTCTAAAGGGCAAAAAATTATTTTCTTTCGAGGCTGTATCGCCGAGTCCGACTGGAACCTGAAACAAGAGCATGGCAGAAAGATGTATGGATGGATAGAGGCAAAGGTAGTGTTAGGAGAGGGGGGAAATTCACAATGAGAGAAAATGTTGTGTTACACAAGCTGACGTTCACCATCCTGTCTCCAGTGTTTACCGACGACCAAACACCCCCCACAAACTAATGCGCTCCCGCCCGCCCATTCCTCCATGAATACCTTCTCTTATCTCTTTCGCTTTCATTCCTGCTATGCCCTTTTTTCACTCTCATCTGTCACTTTCGCTCCTTCCCGCCTTCCTCCCGAGGAGGAGCCTCCTCTGGTGTGGGTCTCCGTCCATCTTTGCCACCCTTTGTACACCGCCTGCCTATTCCTCCCGAGTGCTTTTCATCTGATGTGCACCGTACAGCATAATTTATAACAAGCTTTTTTTTCTTGTCTCTTTGTTTATTTCTTTTTATGGTTGTTCGGTCTGTTGATTTTTTTTTTCTATGGGAACCTACACCCTAATATCAGTTCATCTTCATATTTTATGGGAGTCAGCACACAGCTGCCACCATTTTAACTGCCTCTGGCTAACGGCAAATAAAATCCACACGATTCCAGTACGCTTTTCCTGACATTTTTGTAGTCACAGCTTAGAGTACAAGCCGGGCCGCAGAGAGCTTCCGCAGCAGCAGAGTGATCTCAATGTTTAAAAGTATCGGTCAGGTGAAAGGTACAAAAGCATTTCCAAGGCATTAAATCGAGCATGTAGCACAGTTAAGACTGGCATCCCCTGGAGAAAATGTTGCACCGTAAGTGACAATACCAAGAATTGGACTTCCACTGACAGAGCTGCGGCAATTTCTGGCAAGCGCCGGCTGTACTTGTAACAACAATCTCCCATCTTCTTCATATGTCTGGGTTATGCAGTAGGCTAGATGTTGAGAAAATGTGTTATGGGACGATAAAACCAAGGTTGAACTTTTTGGCCACAAGTGCCAAGGTATGTTTGGTGCAAAAGCAATGTTGCCAACATACCAACAGTGAAGGATGGTGACGGACGGCATCATTTCTCCCAAAATTAACTGAAGACAAAACGCTTGCGAAGTTGGCCGATGGTTCAAGTATTAGCAGGTGCGCAGCCATTCAGTCATTATTCCTGAGTTGAGCGGGCGTGTCACAGGCACCAAGTAGGCAGGTACTTGTAGCAAATATACAGGTATGTCACAACAACGCCACACTCTGATTAGTCTCTCTCCTCTTTTAGCCCATTACAAACAATCGGCAAACTGTGAGGATGTCAAAATGAAACCAGGACACATGACCTATATTATATTGAAAACATGAAATATTTTGATTGCATGGGACCTTGAAAGTATTGTCATGGCCCAGCCAGAGTCCAGACCAGAATCTTATCAGACATCAGTGGGGTAAGCTGAAGAGGCAAATGCACAGGACATTTCCTCGCAATTTGACAGATGTGGAGTGTTTTCTGCAAAGAAGAGTCGGAAAATATTGCCACTTCAAGATGTTGTGAAGTCTCGACGGGGGATGAAAGGTGGACAAGGGAGAGAAAATGAGGGAGGAAGAGAGGTGTTAGAGGGGGACGGGGGAATGAGGCGGACGGAGAGGAAGATACAAGAAGAGAGGTGGAGAGGTTGCATGTAACACGAAATAATAAGATGAGTGGGAAGGGAGCAGCAAGGGGGAGTTGCAGGTAACTAGGCTAGCCTGTTCACATGCCGGCTTACCTGAGCGCACACACAGGGTTTAAATATCACATCAGAACACATTTGTGTCTCGCTGTATGAAAACTCTCCATGTCTGTGGGAAGTCTGAGGTCACGCAGCAGTCTGCTTCCCCCTCCCTGCGTGGCCTTCTCACTTCCAACATAGCCTCTGTCCCATCTGAAAAGCCTGATTTCTTGCTCCCCGCCTCCTTCCAACTCACCTCTTCCATACCTGCCCCTCCCACTTCCTTTCTTCATCCTACCCACCTCATTTTATTGGGGATGATACACGTCCATATTCCTTGCCTTCATCCATATTCGCTTTCTTCAAAACCACTTCCTTCCTAACCACTACCTTTATGTCTCATGACCTAATTACTCTCGTTTTTGTTGTATCCACCGCCTTCCTGGCTGCACACTCTCAGTCTACCACCTCCCGACCTGTCTCAACACTGTAATTTTCTATCCCAGCCATCTCTTACACAAGATTTCTCTGGAACCGGAAACTTTCCTTTCCGCCTCCCCTTCCTTCATACTGACCTCCTTTCTTACCGACCTCCTTCCTCTCCCTAATTCTTGTGTCATTACATGACTGCCCTCCTCCCCCTGACCTGCATCAAGGTCGGTGGACATGCTTGGCAATGGCACACCTACATCACTTAATGATGAATGAGCCACTGTCGCTGTGAAAAATGCAATAACCTCGACCACAAAGCAAAAGGGCTCGTTGTGTTCCATGCACAGGCTGCACGTCAATTAGGAACGGACGTGGTTTGGCACACACTATGAATAGATGTAATGCGGTTTTCAAGGAAAAATAGATATTCATTGTCAGGGTCAGTGAGATGCTTGTCAGGGCCAGGTCAAGCAGAAATCTAGGGAGGCAGCTCTCTCTCTCTGTCCCCCCTCATCGGATTGTCAGATTAGAAGAATTGTGACCCTCGCAACCCTCTATCCTCAGCTAAGAAGGGCCAAACTAAAAAAAAAAGCAATACAAATGAAAACATGGCAACAGAGCTAATTCAGTAATTTACAGACGAGCCAAATCTCAAAGCATATTTCAATTAATTTTGGAGAGTAGGTTTGTCTTTTCTTGCTTTCCACTATCCTGGTTGTCCTGGCTGTTTATTAATGACAAAGCACCAACCTCAGTGACTGTCCGAGGTTCACCCAGTCAAGAGCACCCAGCAGGCCACTTTTGCAGCAGAGCGGAGATTAAAGTGAGCCGGCGGAGATTTGTGGTGAATAAAATGTAAAGCCGGGGCGAACAATGACTCACACCGGCCAAGATTGTTTAAGGGGGATAAGACTTTCACAAAACAGTGTGTGTGCAAGATGGTGTGTGTTATGTGTGTGTGTTGTGTAGATTAGCCCTGTCTGGCAATAGCGACGGCGGGAGAAAGTTACAGGATGAGCCTGCTTTAAATGCGGAGGAGGCTTAAGGGACTTAGCCAGGGAGCCTCTCGTACAGCAACCAGGGCCCAGTTGAGTTCAATCCGGTCCTGCGCAAGATGCAGCTTTTTAGGTGTTGAACAATTTTCTGTCCAATTGGCTTCCTGATAAGGGCTGCCCAACCGAGTTACATTTGGTGAGTCCAACAATTAAAACAGGATAATTATATGAATGAGTAACAGAGTTCCTGTAAAGCCGGCTGGATCTGCTTTTACTATTGTGGATTCATTAGGCAATATATTCTGACTAAGTAGTGTGGTAACACTAATCCCCAACAATGTGGAAATGATGCAGTCTTTACACACTGACGATATTGTAAAATGTCCAGCATTATGGTAGAACCGATCAGCAATAAATGTCCAAATAAAGAAGAGTAATGGAGCTACAATGAGGAATACTGTAATAATGACAGAGCAGAGAATCGTCTAAGTGTCACTGAAATAGGAGCCGCCTGTTTAAAAAGTTAATGGTAAGGGGAAAGAAGCTCCTGGAATGCCTGCTGGATCTAGTTTACGTAAGGTGAAAGTGAATACCAGAGGCAAGGAGTTGTTATTTCTGAATTCCACTTCACTTTATCTTAAGCCTGCATTCGTGTATGTTAACTTTTGGAAACAGAGTAAAAAGATTTCCCATTGCCAATCAACCTCTCTGAATGAGTGGCATTGCATGTGAGATGCCCCCACGCTCACAACTTAAACCACAGTTAAAAAGAGCACAAGTATATCGAACAACTCGAATTACACGGATTCACTGTGCGTGTGTTCTACTCACCAAAATCAGCAAAGGATGATTGTCCCACGTTGGGGAACGGAGGGTCTTCAGGCAGAACAGTTCCTCGGCTGAAGTTGCCATCCTAACGACACGTGATACAGGAAAATGAAATGCGATATATAACATTTTTCATGCTCAATAAAGTACACAGTTATGGACACAAAAGACGATCAATTAGCCTGCATATATAAGTGAAAAAGACGTAAGATGCACGTTAGTTTTACTTTTTTTTTTTTTTTTTACAGTGACACATTCAATTTTTTAAGCATTCTCACATGTCACACAAGTGTCAAAAGATCACACACACGTGCACAGGCACACAGAAGCGTGTTAACTAATTGAAGATCAAATCTTAGCCAGTGTGATTGACTGGTGATGGCTGCTGATTGGTAAATGTCATGATTAAAACGGTGTGTGTGTGTGAGTGTGTGTGTGTGTGTGTGTGTGTGTGTGTGTGTGTGTGTATGTGTGTGTGTCAGATGAAAGGATAACACGTCTTCTTATTAGTCCCCCTTCTGTTCACACTACTCGAAACCACATGCACACAGACACACTATAGAGTAACCCTCTGATATCAATTCACCTCATCCGTGCAAAATGTCGCGGCTGACAACATGAGTTCAAAGTGAGGGCTGCAGAGAACCTAAGTAACGTGACTGATTAACATTCAGTGTTTTTGCCATTTCGGCGGCACCGCTCGCCATTTTTGGACGCTGAATGCGGCTCAATAAGCACACAGCTTTGTCATTCGGCAAGTAGAGTCCCCCCGCATTATTGTAGCTGCCGTGGAGTTGACCTTTAACAAACACCTCTCCTCAAAACAGCTTGTTGACCTCTGCCTCGTCCTTCTTAGCGCCTGATTTCTTTTAGAGAATGACATAAAAAAAAAAAAAAAAACACGGGGGCGGGGGGTGATTTATGCAGGGAGAAGATGAGGAAAGCAAAACGGCGGTATCTTCACTTTTGAGTTCATTTCATTGTGTGACCAAGCTCATCACCAAATGGATTTGCAAACCAAATCAGTTGTGCCAGTTGGAATGAATGTCATTAATCTATTCAGCCCCCCAAAATATAACTGATAAAAAAAAATATAAAACAATATTTTTAAAAAACTGCTTTTATAATATGTAATTATTCTACATACTGTATGATATGCATATTGGATGTGGGCGTAGACTTGTGAGGTCACGAGCTGGAGTCGGGTTGATTGGTTCGTCTTTGAGAACGTGAGCTGTGACAGCTGTCGCTTGCAAGTGTTCTCATTTGTATTTATGCGTTTCGCTAAACGGCTCAAATTGCATCGCAATGGTGGCTCTCCTTGCCCGCAAGGAAGGGCATGACAGTTCCTACATTTACATAGTACGGTGCGCCTCTGCACCAAAAAAGAAAAGTATTATGACCTAGTGCCAAAATGAGTAATTACAGAACTGTTTGATTTTGGTTTGCGTTTGTTTGATTTTTATTTTAAATGACAAAATCACCTGCTTGTACCGCTTTCACAATGCGCAATGGTGCCAGTGCTAGTTTGACGGTAGAGCTAAATTTGCAGTAGATCTTTGAGTGCCTTGAGTATGTTCCAGTAGTCTAGTCCAATCATTCGATAACGTGCCCTGAGAGATCAGTCGGTGTGCTGTGGGAAGATACAGAATGTGACTTATTTGGTCTGAAAATGATTTTATAAATAGATTTTGCCATTCTGAGAACAGAATAATAGCTTTGTGTTCAATTAGATCAGATTTTAGAGACAAAATCATCATTATTTCTGAATTCATAACTTTGGTGACATTTTTGTTTGCTGGCCGTGGCATTTTTGTAATGTCAAAAAGAGTGCCTTGGCTTAATAAAGGTTAAGCAACACTGGTCCAACTTCTGTGCAAGTAAGTAGGCGGTGTTAATAACATGTACACATGGACCAAATTGAAATATATGAAATATATGTTTGTATATAAAGGTACAGTTTGTACAGGTACACATTTGTACAATGTACAGTACGTCTGTGCAGTATGTTTAAACAGTACCTATTATGTATTAATATATTATTCCTCTGTTATTGAAAGAAAACCCCACAACGATCATAGAAATAATTTGAATCTGACAAAAGTAATAAAAATTGTAGACCGTCTAACGATTGTAAATCAGAAATTACATTTGAATTGGTGGTTCAGCAGAATGATTTTAAAATAACAAACAAAACAAACAAACAAACAAACAAACAAAAAAACCTAATGAACTGCCTCAACCTGTAGTTTAACAATTTTACAAAATAAACTCATGAAACACGCCTGGACAAAACTGATGATACTACAAGTTGATTTTCCAAGATTTCCAAGCAAGCTGTGTCCGCTAATTAGCATTGCATATGAAAAAAGAACATTAATAGTCTCCCTCCTTTGTCTTTGTCCCATGGGACAACATTTCCAGCAAATAGGACATCTTCGAGGTGCTAAACAGGAAAAAATCCTTGGTGAGCATAAATGAAAGGTGGGGGGGGGGCGTTTGGGGGACCTTAAGGTGGTTGAAAATTCTAAACACTCTCCGAGTTTATTTGCTCATTTTTCCTTTATTTTTTTCATTCCTAGCTTGTCACTATTTCGCTCTCCCCCCTCCCCCATCCGCGCGCATCCTGTTTCTTCTTGCTGGGCCTTCTCTCGCTGCGATAAGACACATTGCTGCTCGCCTAGTGCCTCAACCTGCTGAATTTCAAGCAGGGCCCCCGTTCACAACACACACACACAC